TCAGAAGCCTTCGACAAGATCAAGAATACCTGTCAAATCCGCCAGTCTTGGTCCCACCGAAGCCAGGGAGACCTCTTTTCTTATATCTGACGGTCTTGGAGAATTCTTTTGGCTGTGTCGTCGGGCAACATGATGTAACTGGGAAGAAAGAACAGGCAATTTACTAGTTGAGCAAGAAGTTCACCAGTTATGAAGTTAAATATACCCTGTTGGAAAGGACCTGGTGTGCTTTGACTTGGGTTGCTCAAAAGCTAAGACATTATCTTCAAGCTCACACCACCTACCTCATAACCAGGTTGGATCCTTTGAAATACATATTCCAGAAACCGATGCCCACAGGGAGATTAGCGAAATGGCAGATTCTGCTCACCGAATTTGACATAGTCTATGTCACTCGCACGGCAATGAAAGCCCAGGCGTTGGCGGACCATTTGGCTGAGAATCCGGTTGACGAGGAATACCAATCGTTGAGCACATACTTCCCAGACGAAGAGGTAAATTCAATAGAAGTAATCTCTAAAGAAACCAATGCTTGGAAAATGTTCTTTGATTGGGCAGTAAACGCTAAAGGTGTTGGAATTGGGGCAATCCTAATATCACCCACCGGTCAGCACTAGCCGGCCACCGTTAGGCTCCGGTTTTTCTGCACAAACAATACCGCCGAATATGAAGCCTGCATCATGGGTATGAATATGGAATTGACCAAGACGTTGAAGAGTTACTGATTATGGGGGATTCAGATTTGATTATCCGGCAAGTCCAAGGAGAATGGGAAATCCGAGATGTTAAGCTTATTCCCTATCGCCAACATGTGAAAGATCTTGGCAAGCGATTCAAATCAATAGAGTTCAGGTACATCCCTCGGTGTCACAATGAATTAGCTGATGCACTCGCCAGTTTGGCCTCGAAGCTGCCATACCCAGGCAATGCCTATATTGATCCCTTGGAGATCCAAATCAAAGAAAGGCATGGTTACTGTAATACGGTTGAGGCAGAACCAATCACCCAGTCATGCTACCATGACATCAAAAGGTTTCTGAGAACACAAGAATATCCCGAGCAAGCCACGGGAGATCAAAGGAGAACCATTAGACGGCACGCGAGTGGTTTTTTCTTGAGTGGTGATCTCTTGTATAAGAGGACCCCGGACCTCAGCTTGTTAAGATGTGTTGACGTCGAGGAAGCCGGAAGAATTATGCATGGGGTACACGCGGGAGTGTGCGGACCTCATATAAATGGGTATGTTTTGGCAAAGAAAATCCTTCGGGCAGGATATTATTGGATAACTATGGAGAAGGACTGCTTCAGCTTTGTCCGAAAGTGCCATCAGTGTCAGGTGCACGGTGATTTGATTCATGCACCTCCAACAGAACTGCATCCTATGTCAGCACCTTGGCCATTCGTTGCCTGGGGCATGGACGTTGGGCCAATCGAGTCGAAAGCCTCAAATGGACATAGATTCATATTGGTTGCTATTGACTACTTCACGAAGTGGGTGGAAGCCATCACTCTCAAGTCAGTCACAAAAAAAGCTGTGGTAGACTTCGTGCACTCTAATCTTATCTGTCGTTTTGGCATTCCTGCAACTATCATCACAGATAATGCTGCCAACTTGAATAGTCGTTTGATGGGAGAAGTATGCGAACAATTCAAGATAACGCATAGAAACTCCACTCCCTACCGGCCCAAAGCCAATGGTGCCGTTGAAGCAGCAAACAAGAACATCAAAAAGATTTTGAGAAAGATGATTTACCGCTCCAGACAGTGGCATGAAAAGTTGCCTTTTGCATTACTGGGATATCGCACCACAGTGCGCACATTGGTAGGAGCTACCCCATACCTTTTGTTCTATGGAACCGAGGCCGTTATACCCGCAGAGGTAGAAATCCCTTCTCTCCGGATCATCGTTGAAGCAGAAATTGAGGATAGTGAATGGGTCAAGACTCGTCTGGAACAGTTGTCTTTAATTTATGAAAAGTGGATGGTCGCGGTTTGTCACGGGCAGTTGTACCAACAAAGAATGGCCCGCGCTTATAACAACAAAGTACGACCCAGGAATTTTGAAGTGGGACAGCTCGTGTTAAGACGAATTCTCCCTCATCACCAGGAAGCCAAAGGAAAATTTGCTCCTAATTGGAAGGGTCCATACATCATCCGAAAGATATTGGCGAGAGGAGCATTGTATCTGGGAGACATCGAAGGCAATGATCCCGAAACAGCTGTGAATGCGGATGCAGTAAAAAGGTACTATGTCTAGGCTCTCTGCGATGTTGGTCTTTGTGCAATTGAGATGACGAAGGCTTTTCTTCTCGCTATCCAAACACTATTAACCTTTCGTAAACCCATTTGAGCCGGTTACCCTTCTTTGGCTACCCTCTTTGGAACCCGGAAGTATTATCGAGAAAAAAAGGAAAAAAAAAAAGAAAAAAGAAAAAAGAAAAGAAAAAGAAAATATGATGGAAAAAAAAAAGAAAGAAAAGAAAAAGAAAATATGATGAAAAGAAAAAGAAAAGAAATGAAAAAACAAAAACAAACAAAACAAAAACAAAAACAACAAAAACAAATGTTTTCCTGAACTACGTTTGACTTGATTCCGAAAGGATACGTAGGCAGCCTCTCGCTGGGGTTCAGTCACACCAAAACAAAAATCCCAATTCCCCCAAAAGTTGAAACTAGAGCAGATGATATGTTGGTTCGGCTATGAGTCCACCAAAATTGTTCCAAAGTTGTACTTCCGTCCAAAATTCTTTTTACCCAAAACCTTGTCCAAGTCCTTCTGATCAATTGGCAAAGGCATGGGAATCGAAAAAACAACATTGTTGGGATCTGATAAAGTCCAAATTGAGAGAAATAAAATGAGAGAGTCTTATCGGTGAAAACCCTCGGGCACCATAAGGCGACGGTGAGTAGAGAATTTGAAAATGAGAGAGTCCGTTTGGTGAAAACTCGTAAAGAGCAGTGAGAAGATAAATGAGAGAGGTCGATTAGTGAAAACCAGCAAAGGGCGCTGTCGGCCGAAAAGAAGACATCTCATCACTAAAAGAGTCCAGGCAAGGTTCACTGGTTTTGAAATACGGATCAGCGGGTTCATGAGAAGCTGGAAAGTTTATGGGGTCGTGCATCCAGTCCAAGAAGCATGTCATGTCCATTTGAAGCCAGCATGCACCCCCAGATAAGTCCTTATTTTCCCCCGAAGGGACGCTTCTCTTTAAACTCATATGCTTGTCTTTTTCATACTTCTTCTTTGAATCTCTTTCGGTTTAACTCTGATTTCGGGACTGTTACAAAGAAAAGGTGGCAGGACTATTTTTATAGGGCTTCGCCTGGCAAAAGCCAAAGAAAATACCCAGCCTCAGCGGGTGTGTCAGACCAATCCCGACTGGCCATGGTGGTTGATGCTTTCAAAGCAAAGATATTGGAAGGGAAAGAAAGCCAAAGACAAAGGTCCTAAGAGCAGAATAAAGTGAAAAGGCAAGAGCCCACACGGCGCGGGTCATCAAGAAATCTTAAAAGTTGAGTCCTGTCGGTTTGAAAAGAGATTCACCCTCAATCCAGCAAGCAGCAAAGTTCTCAACGAAAATTGGGCTGGGATCAAGAAATTGAGATGGTCAAGGCCACAAAACCAACCACCGTTTCAAACTAACAAATTGTTCTTTGTTTGAAAGTTAAAACAGGTGTAATTCAAAGCAACCATGCAAGAAGCAGGTGCAACCCAAAAGGAAAAAAAAATGCGCAAGCGCTGAAACAGCTTTGCAGCAGGGAACCGACCAAAAAGGGAAGTTTCCCCCAAATTCTTTCATCCGTTTTACTAAATAAAAAGAGAAAAACAAAAAGAAGAAAAGAAAAAGAAGAAGAAAGAAAGAAGAAAAAGAAGTGAAAATGAAAAGCCCCAAAAAAAAATCATGGTAGCATAGGGCCCCATTCCCTAGATATCCCGGCATAACCCGTGGACCTCCCTGGCATAACCCAAGGAGCTTTTTTCTTTCCATCCCGGCCTAACCCGTGGATCTCCCCGGCATAATTTTAGTTTTGACTCATTCGTATAGCAGTGGGTTTAAGATATCATCCCACCAAATCATTTGGGTCTATTGTGTCGTGAACCATGCTCCATGTTTGCTTCAGCTTTGGGCTTGCTTTAGGGCCCAAGCGTGAGTAGCCATTACAGGTTAAGCTTAATTGAATTCTCACCTGGGCCAGCCCTTAGGCCCAATATGCTAAAGAATTTGTAATCTCATTTTATTGGTTACATTTTATAGTGCCATTTCTGGGCTTTCCAAGCTAGATAGCGAATTTAAATTAAGAGGTTCTCCTCTTGTTTAAATTCGGACTTGAGCTTGAGGCCCGAATTTCATAATGTTAATTAATTCATAGGCCTTTAGAGACAATCCTTAATAGAAAAATAGTAGTTCATTATAGGATGGCCTTTAAAAATAATTTGAGGTGCGCCGCGCCAAACAAAATTTACAAATTGCGTGGCCCTCTTTAGTTACTTCTTTAAAAAATATTTAGAACTTGGGGCGTGCCATTTAGCGAATTTTCATGGCCTCCCGCAAAGTTAATAACACGTTAGTCACTGTAGGTGCGTTCTTCAATAATTTTACTTTCCTAAATTCGGATGTGCATTTCATGTGACCCAAATCAAAATCCCAAAACGTTGAATAAAATGTGTCAAGGATCCGGGTGCATTTCATGTGACGTGATCCGAAAACATATTTTAAACGACGTTCAATTTCCTAAAATTAATGAAAAGCGGTAAATAATTTTAAAATTGCACTATAGGATGACATGTATTGGAATAAGATGTTTAGCCAATTATAAAAGTTTAAGCGACCGTGCTAGAACCACAGGATCCGGGGGTGCCTAACACCTTCCCTCGGGTCAACAGAATTCCTTACTTAGAATTTCTGGTTCGCAGACTCCACTCGGGAAGTCGAAATTTCCTCGATTTGGGATTCAAGATAAACCGGTGACTTGGGACACCAAAAGCCAAACCTATCCCAAGTGGCGACTCTAAAAATCAAATAAATAATCCCATTTCGAATAATGTCACTTTAAATGGAAAAACTCCCTTATACATTTATCCTTTGGGGTAGGTGTGTAAAAAAGGAGGTGTGACAGGATGTACATATACAACGAGTAGAAATTTTCGTTTGACTCACTTAATGACGTTAGGTTGATAGGGAAATAGCTTAATCGATACCCCTAGACTCCACATCCCTTACGTATGTCGGTAACATACTGATATACTACGTGATTTGGTGGTGCAGAGACATTAATAGGAACAAAGGTACTCCCCTTAGAAACAAGTTCTACCAATCCCTCCATGGCTCGATACATTCTCCTAACAAATGCTTGGGCAATCTCCCTCAT